GCCGCGCGTGCTCAGTTTCCGGCACGGAGGATCTTCTCCACAGGGTGTCGTTCATTTTCGGACTCGAAAGAGGGTCGGGTGCGCACGTTTTAATTTATGCGCAAGCCATTGCGTCGTAATGTCCACGTGCGTCCGACACGAACGACGACGGAAGAGAGACGGTTCTTTAACGTGAAGAAGGGTTACTTTTTCCACGAGCGATCTCCGAGAAAGTACGAGTTTTAAATCGAATCTCTCAATAAAATACAAAAATTTCTAGGCTTCCTTCTCCCGCACACATTTTCGTCGAATCAAATGTAACGAAAGACGTCGCGAGGAATCGCTCGATCACAACGCGGTGGCATACAAATGTATTTTGCTGCCCGAATTCAAGGAAGAAAAGAAGATAAAAAAAAAAAAAGAAACGATCGAGAAAAGCCAAAGATCCTGCGCGATAACCGATTTATAAATAAACTCGTATGTAATACAACGTGTGCACGCCTATCGGGAATTCGCAGCTGAGCGTATACGGGTGCCCTAATGGGAGAGTTGGTTGGCCACGATGAATTTCATCCAAAAAAATGGATAATAGTGACATACTACTAAGGAGAGAGACAGGTAAGGAGCGTATATAAATGCTCCCGTATCGTGTAAAGATTCGACTCGGCGATAGAGGAGACATTTTTTCCTGCCTTTCTGTCGTCGCTGCTCCACAAAGAGAGCGGGCGCTCTCTCTCTCTTTCTCTCTCTCTCTTTTTCTCGAGACCAATTTAAATCAATTTAACCTACCACCCCCTGCTTAAACGAGACACAATTGGCACACAATGAGCGGCCGGGAGTCCTTCGGAGGGAAACCAACACGCAGCACTTAAATCTTGAAACTTCCTACATATCTCTCCGTGTTCAGAAAATAAAATTGAGAGAAAAAAAATAACTAATTCTGAGAGAATTACACTTTCTCTAGGGTTTGGAGTTTCGTCTTGTTTTTTTTTCGCGAGGTTCACAAGAACGTTTCCTGTCTGTGAAACTGAAATGTAACCCCGATCGCGGTAATTAGTCGGAGTCATTATATTTCCTCTGTCGATATCTGACAGAGATAAGATTCCCGATGTAATATATGTGGGAGAACGGAAAGAAAACCGAGGCACACAGGGAATTGACAGGTATCGTCCGCGTGCGTGAACTTCACAGGGGGATCGTTTACTGTCAATTACTTAATTACTTTGTTAGAAAAAGCTTTTTTGTGACTCCGATTCTCGTAGCGCGGCTTGCTGCTGCTGGCTTGCGAGAATTGTGTTCCCGTCGATAAATCGCGATATTGTCTCGGTAGAGATTAATTCGAAGCCCTCATAGACTCTCTCCACGTCGGAGAGTCAACCCCTTTCGCGTGCGCGTTTCCTGCCCAAGTGAAAGATGATTGGCCAGCGATTACGAAGAACTTGCTCGCCACGGGTCGCACCCAGAGCATATGTCGCGCGATGCCCTATGACGGGATGCGTAGAGGGGTGATTTTTTTTCCCTCGATCTAAAGAGCACGTTTTTCCGGGGGTGAACATCGGTTAAACGCGGAGACAATAGATATCAGCCTTTTTTCCAGGGCGCCCCGTAAAGCCCCGTAATGTTTTCATAACTTCCGTCGACGGAAATCGCTGTTTGAGAAAAAAAAAGTCAAGATGCAAAGCAGGCAATATTGTGACAAGCATCGATGTCACCGACGTTCTAAATGTACGCACCCTTTCAAAAACATTTCTTACATACACAGAAATTATATTTTCTGTTGTGGACGAGAGAGAGAGAGAGAGAGAGAGAGAGAGAGAGAGAGAGAGAGAAAGCGTTTCGCAACACACCGCGGGATTTAGATACAAAAAGCGTTCGGAGAATCGACTCGTGTTGAATGGATTATGGAGTTCACGTCCAGATCGGATCTCCGCCTAGAAGGCACAGCATCGCGCTTTGAAAAACCGGAAGCAGCCGGCACGAGCCCCGGAGACGTGAGCGGGTTACCGACGTTGTGTTCTCATCATCTGGCTTTCGACCAGGTAACAGTCGCTGAAAGGGCGAGACACTGTCGAGAGTGTAAACACAATTGCATCAAAGAAATACAAGTCTCGACGATGAAATAAAAACTTTTGTATCTTTTTTTTTAAGAGAGAGAGAGAGAAGAAAAAACCTTACATCGATCGATTACGTTAGCCACTGAAGATGAACGGATCGTTTAACTATTCGACATTCGTAGAAAACGTTCGAGAAATCAGGGACACTTGCGCGAAACATTACGTTTGAGGACGCGCGCACGTAGTTGACAGGTGACAGAATATTTAAAAGTCCGAGAGAGAGAAAGAGAGAGAGAGAGAAAGGTCTAGTATGTCTTCTTTTACACGTTGCGAGACACGCGACTAGCATTGTATTCAAATGCGGAGGCAGATGCGCGGATAAGCTTGAAAATTTGTCCTTCCCGAACGTTATCCTGCACACGTCACTCCTTAGCACAAGAGAAATTAATTGTCTAATATAACAAAAATATAAAAGCAAAATGTTAATAAATAAAAATAAATATTTATCTGTATATGTGGTACATCGTAACGACTCTGTATTTTATAAGAAACAATATTTTTAAAATCGAAAAAAAGTTCGGTTTACTTAACAGAAACGGAGGAGAAGAGAGAAAATTTCACGAAGCGTCAAGGCGAATTTAATGGCTCTCGTCATACGGAAAGCTCGTAAAAATTCTAATAATGGTCGCGCGCGATCTTTCCTTTCTTTCACAATAATTCGCAATAATTGTCTCTGAGAGATAAGAGAAGAAAGCGAGCGGGAGAAAGAAAGAAAGAGAAAGAACCGGTGTGTCGGCTCGTGTGCGGCGTCGTGCACATCTCGCGGCTGCGTTTATTACGTAGAAACGGCGACGTCGCGCCGGGTTCGAGATAGTGTCATGTACAGGAACGCCGCTTACCGGTACACGCTCGGTGTACCTGTGTGGAAGTAACCAGAGTGTACTGTCACGGGGGCGTACAATAGGCCAGTTTCAGGGACAATAGCGGAGGCCCGACAATCAAATCAGCTCGCTATCAGCCACCCCAAACCATCAACGTTTATCCTTTGATCCGCTCAGTCGTTCGCTCGCTTGCTCGCTTGCTCGCTCGCTCGCTCACGGGGCAGCAAACACTCCTGATTGCACACCCTCCGTATTTAAACAGCCTCGAACTGTGTGTCTCTCTCTCCCTCTCCTCCTCCCCCATCCCGTTGCTGCCTTTCTGTTCCCCGCTCATCTCCGCTCAATGCGCCCCGTTCCTTCCATGTTTAATGGTTCTACAGAGGATGTAGGGAACGAGAGAGGAGGAGAGAGAAAGAGATGTAATGTCCGGAATAAAACGCTAGAGCACATTTCGCCGACATTCCAACTTACCAAAAATTAGTCTTCTTTAAAACATGCAATCTAACTTTTTGAAAAATGTGTGAAAATAGCGTATCTCTGTTTTTTTTTTTTTTTTTTTTCTAAATAGACAGGTCTTAGAAAAAGCTTTTAAAGAACTTGTACAATCCGCGGAAACACACGAAATTTTTGTAATAGTGAGATAAATATGCACTCTGTTTCTTTTAAAAACGAAAAAGTGAGAAACCACAAAATTGGTCTATATAATAGTCTCAGCTGCACCTGTGCGCACGTGGTAGGAAGTAAAAATAAAGACGATGCTGTGCACACACGTGTTAGAATACGTGTGCATCAAATCACACGTGCGAGCGAGCTGCGGAAACAGATCGTCGGACACGATAAAAAAAAAAGAAGAAACATACGTATTTCATACAAGTATGGGAAAAAAATTGGTCGGGCGCTTGATAAAGAATTTTTTTGTTTTTTAATCAAAAAAATACGGTGGATATTGCGAAATCTCGAAAACAAGAGCTCTTTTTTTATAATATCCGGCGCAAAAAACCAAGATTCGGAGAACAATGTGACCTGCGTTGTCGCGCGATTTACGAAAAGCTTTTCAAAGCAAACGGTGAAAAACTGCAAACCTCGCGTCGCACAGAGAGATAGAATAGACGCAACATCGGGGGCGGGGAAGAGGAGGGGGGACGAAACGAGAGAGCTTGTAGCTTTCGAAAAGTTACAACGATAGATCCGCGACAGGCGGTGTCTGTTCTACTATGTGTCCTCTTTCTGGGTTTGAGATCTCGCAACTTCACAATTCCGAGGACGCGTTCACCTCGGCAGATATGTTTGCGTCGTGGGTTCGAGTTCGATCGAAGCGTAACGGGCCGTTGTCTTGGATGCGGGTACCTGGGGTTGGGGAAGGCAAAAGGATAGGGAAGGTAGGAACGGAGTAGGAGGTTCCTGCGAGAGACACCCTCTTGCCAGCTGATTACAAACTCGCGCCATTGCCACACGATTAATCAATTAACACTCCAACTCTATTCTCTCTCTCTCTCTTTCTCTTACGATAAACAATATTATCATTTTTAACACACAAAGCACTTTCTTCCCCTCCAACAAAACGTATTAAAACATATGAGAACGTCAACTTAATTTTACGTGATAACAAATTAATTTTTAATTTCAAATGTGCGCCGCGCTTTCCTTTCGAGATTCTAAACGAGAGAAAGTATACGAGCTCGTCTGTAAATATACGACGATATAATGTCTCGATATAATTTCCGGTGCAAATTCTCGGAATGTATCGGAATGGAGAGCGTAGTCTTAGACCACCACCGCGCAATTTCGGGTGAGATTCCGTTGCCACAGGGAGGAAACCTCCGGTGATCGATTCCCTCGCGGGTCGAAAGGGGTTGCTACCGTCGATTAAGCACCCTCGAAAGGGAAGCAGCCGGCGATTGGTTAGCCACGGCCACTCCCATAGGCGGTGCCTGCCGACATATGGAGGCAACCGCGGCGTACTCGCGATCTCCGCCGGGGCACAACGTGCCTGGCAGTCCAGCTAGTTTACACCAGTAAAACTGGAGTTGTCTCAGTCCATGTAGCGACGTCGTGCCGCACGCATCGGTACGCATTTCTCGTTCGCTCCGAACGCAAACGTCAAACTTGATCCAGACAGAGACAGATCCGCGCAAAATTTCGATACTGATCGATCTTTTTTTTTTTTTTTTTTTTTTGAATTTCAAAAGAAGTTTCGAAGATTCATCGAGAGCAGTATGAATCTACGGACTTTCGTAGATCGGCCGATTGTCGACGCAGCGATAGGTTCGAAAGAATCGGATTGTTTCGCGCGACAATGATCGAGCGAAATGCTCGGAGGAATTTTCTATCAAAATTGCAGTGAAGTGCAAACTCGTGCTCCGTCGGTGACTATATAGGAAAAGTGGCGCATTCCGCGTTTGTATATAATTGAAATCGTCCGCGGAGGACGTTTCGTGGTTTCGATCGCGAATTACCAGCTGGGCCACCGAAGAACGACAATTACGAAACGTCGACTATGGTAGTTCTGTAAGTATCCCCGTCAGATAGAAATCGATTTAATGTTAATTCGAACGTGTCATGTATTCACGTTCATCGAAGACGAGACGGACTTCGAGGTCGATCTCAAAATCTTTTGCTTTTCGAACCGATTTTTCTGGAAAATCGCCCGGTCTTCCCAGCGAATTATCGGCGTCAATTTCTCTTCCTGGCGCGCAGTACGAGAAATCCAGGTGATATCTAATCAATGGGCGTTCTGCGGGTCTCCTATTGGCGTGTGGGCGTTATCACGGGACCTGATTGGACGCTAGGTGTTCTAGATACCCCCTCGTTTACACATGCGCGCTTTATCGAGGCAATGCACGACCATTCGTGCGCGCGAGCTGTGTCGCATTTTCGATACTCCCGCAAAATTTGCCGAAGATACTTCCTCTTTATTATTATTATCCCACCTTTTTCTTCTCATCAATTGACTCGCATCCTTTGTGACAGTCAAAAAAAAAAAAGAGATTTCTCGAGCGAGAAGTGTCACCTAGAAAATCTTTTACTCAACATCAACAATATTTCCAGTTAGCCACTTTATTTATCTGATATCTTGATTTTTATTATTTTTAGTTGCGAGTGTCTTTTTCTAAAAGTTGTCGAAAAAAAATAGAAACCCGATAAGAAAGAGAGAGAGAGAAGAGAGAAGAGAAACTATTCCGCTCTCTATACGAGAGAATTCCGAATCGAACAGAGAAAGGGAGAGGGCGGTCGCGTCTCGTCGGTTCGTGAAAACCCGATTAAGGATGTACTGCCGCCACGCCATTGATCACAGCCCAACACCTCGAAGACAGATTAAACGAATGTCCGCGGGTAAGACGATCCCCCTTTATCTCGGATCTCGAGAACGCTCTCTCGCTCTCTGTCCGCCGCGCTTTGAGAGAAACCCTTTGAACCCTCCCACCCTCCCTTGTGAATCCTTTTACGTCGCGGCAACCGAATGGAAGCTGACAGTTCGCCGGATAATAATAATTCAATGACATCACGCCTTAGACGGAACGAACTGACATTTCGAGAGCGCCGAATTACTTTCGAAATAAATTTGTCGTTTCTCTCTTTCTCTCGTCGTTTTATTGTTAGGTCATCGTTACGTTGTAAGATATTAATTACAATGTATGCAATTAGTCGAATTCAGCGATCGATAACGTCTGGTTGCGATAATGAAATTAGCGTCGCATTCACGAGATTTTGTCTGTGTGTGTGTGTGTGTTTATCTCGTTTATTATAATTATATTATGTAGTAACTGCGGAATGTGTTCGGTCACACAAAAGACAACCCACGTGTTTCTCCGAATCTGGCGCGTTTGATTTTTATTAAAGCGCGTCTTTCTTCTTTCCTCATGAAAGCTGATTATTTCCCATCTTCTTCGGAAGGAATCGGGTTCAGGATCACCGAGCGATACACTCCGAGCGGCGGAATCGGGCAAAACATTGGATTTACAAAAATCCAGCCTGACCGGTTTTCTTACGTTCTATCGCGTTTCATTGAGCCGCGATGCGTTTTGCCGGAGCTTTTTTTGCATGTGTCAGCTCCTAACCGCTCTTCAGTCCGCTTGGTGATCGAGGGATCACGCGCGCGCGCGCGCGCGTGTCTGTGTGTGTATGGAGTAGTTTGCATTCATAAACGCAAATATCGCGAAGATGAAAAGTGCGAAAAACACTCGGCGAATGATTTGCAAATAATTCGCTACAAATAACTCGCGATTTGACACGCGCGAATCGATGAATTTTCTCTCTCTCTCTCTCTCTCTCTCTCTTTCTCTTTTTGCGAATAACATTATTTGGCAATATTAGAAATACGTTAGATATTGAATGAAAAACCTACGTACAATGTAAAAAAAAAAATAAGTCTTATATGTGATCTGACTCGTGTCGATGACGTGAGTAAAGATTCGAGGAGACGATACCGCGTGAATAATTTCAAAAAAACACGCGTGAATTTCAATACAAAGAAGAAATGCAACTTTTGTAACCTCGATGACGATTTCTCAAACTGTCGGTGTCTTCGCGTACCCCTTTTAAAACGGCTTCTTTCGAAAACTGGATTTACAATCAGTAGCATCGAACTTGAAGCTTGCGTTCCTGCGCGTAGAAAGAAAAATCACACGAGAGATCTATCTGCGTTTCGAGTCGTATTTACCGTAATTACCGAAATAAAGTGCGCAGGACTAATTACCGAACGAAAATAAATACAACGCGTGTGTACGAGGTGTGTGAAATTAAAGCGGAGAAGGTCGTAAAACCATCGGCGTGTGATGTTTCCGTATGTGACGACACGAGAGAGCGATAACTCGAATCGAAAGCGCCGGGGGAATTAACTCGTTTAGAAACGCGAGAGATTAACTCGCGCGAGCTAATCTCGCGAAAAGATCCCCGAGCGCATAGCCCGGCTGTACGGGAACGGGCATCGAGGAGAGAGAGAGAGAGAAAGAGAGAAAATGAGAAATCGGGAGGAAGACGGACGAAGGGAAACGTGTAGAGAGAAAGAGAAAAAGAGAGAAACGAAAGAAGACGCACAGCGAGAAATTTCTTCCTTTTCACATGTGCCCTTCGTGATATTTTAGTGGCCTTCGTCGTGGCGCGCGCGCGTATCTACCTTAATATCTGAAATTCTGAACGAACCACCCATACAACCGAGGAAGAGCAACGAGAACGTCTTCTCTCTCGCCTCTTCTTCCTCGCACACGAATCACACAAAACCGTGGATGTACACGCGTGTTTCGGGACACGCGTGTTCACGCGAGCATGCGTACGTCTCGTCTGACCGTGCCGTGGACAATCTCGGCGCAGCATCGTCCGCCGATGTATCATCTTACTCGGTGCTAAAGGCGATGACTTTATCACCGATCCGGGCAATCATTCACCCAAGCCCTGTCTCTCTTCTCTCCGTTAGCTTGCGCTCCGGAGTTGCGTCCTCGTCCTCTCTCTCCCGTGTCCTTCCTCAATTTTACCCTCACCGCGTTTTCTACGTAAGAAGGAAGGAAGAGGAATATACACAGAGAGGCGTTGACAGGTCGTACAGTAAAACTCATCCCGGTACGCCGGTTTCTCCGACTTATACGAGCTATCGAAAAACTGGTAGATTTATCACCTCGACAAAGGAGCCACTGTCTCCTCTTATATGGCGTATCGATAATCGTAAAATTAACACCGTGTCGACGGATATACGAAACGGGGGGTGGGGGCGGGGGATCGGAGCTTCAATTCCCGCACATTTTCGGGACATATGAAATACGCAGCTATTCGAAACAATGTGGAGATATTTTATCTTCCGTCTGCGAACGCTCGAAGAATTAAAAACTGTCGATTCGCGTCTCTCCGTCGACAATCATGTTAATAATTGACAAAATAACGAATCGATAAAAAGAGAATCGGCGAGATAATAAAAAAAAAATATTTGAATACCGATAGATAGATAAAAAAAAAAACAATATTTGACATGAGAAAAAAAACGGGAAATACACGCTTGTGTGTGAAACAAACTTATCAGATCGCGTGTCGAATCGTTGTCGATCGTAGATGATTAATTTGTCAAATGGGAAATTTCGGGGATATCGGAAAACAGAGCAAAATATAAATACAAAGAACAAATGTAACAAAAAAATATAAATACAACAAAGATGAGGAAGAAAAAAATATAAATCATATCCAAACGCGGACAATAAAATATCTTCTCTCGATCTAAAAAGGTGAAGAGGCGTGTGTGAGGAAATATGTAGAGAAAACAATTCATTTTCCGCTTCGCGCATACGATGCGAACGAGAATCGCCTCTTTGGGAAAAGGAGAATTTCTAGACGAAATAGCTCGCGCGATAAAATAAAAGCCCGCGCGCCGCGCGAATTGAACGGCACAGTAAACGTGTTTTACGCGATTGGCGATCGCTGTAATCGCGGCAATTGGAACCAAACGCGGTGGATTCTCGGCAGTGATCATGTCAGTCAGTGAAAAAAAAAGTTCACGAGGTGGTCTCGGGACGTCGTTGCGAGGACACGGGACCCTCCGGGCGATGAGGCGTTCTCGAGTAGGTGTTCCAGGATCGTAAACGTCCGGCTACGGGCGCAACTCGATAAAACCGACGGAAACGATGTGTGCGCGCACCTAGCGCGTAACCTGTGCACACACGCACGCCGTAGGAGAAGGTGCGGAAAACCTCCTTTCGAAACGCGCCGTTCGCGACAAATATACGCGACAAGTAAATCCGAGCGAGTAAATATAAGTCCGCCCGCGTTCGCGACGCGTGTAAATTAAAGGAAGACGGCGGCGGGGATGGGGATAAGCGCGGCCGTGTCGAGAGTGCGGTTTCTTCTGCCGTTTCAGAAATCCAATCGAGTTATTTTACAGCAGGTGGTTTACACTTGGAATAAATTTTCCGCGAGAAATCGCTTTATCTCTCTAATCGGTATCGCTTTGCGCACAAATTACGACACCTCTTCCATCGGTTTTTTTTTTTTTTTTTTTTTTTTTTTTGAGTTTGCGCACAAACTCGTAAACTTCTCCCGAAGGTTGTGAGCGGAAGATTCGGAAAAAAGAAATTCACCCTTCGTGATATACGATCGAGAGAAGTCGTTGTCGCGCGCTCGTCGTTTAATACGGCCGGCGAGATATTCTCTCCGCATACGCGGCCGCAGATCATAAACGCCGTACTTTAAATGTCAACCGAAGAAAGAGCAGAAGCTCATTTGCGAGCGTGTATTTTACGAAGTGTCTCTTACGCGTATCCAAAAGTTTTAATTACAGATTTACGGTCGCAACGCGGCTGTATCGCGGTCGAGGAATACCGCGATTCGAACTGTCGAGCGAGTTCGAGAGATATCTGTAGTAAAACGTTATTTACGCCGAGACTATGTCGGTATACGCGCGCGCAATTGTATACCATCGTACGCCGAATGAAAGAAACGAGATTTCGAGAATATAATTTCGTAGGCAGATATGTACCGGCTCGCGAATATCGAGAATCAATCTTCCGGAGCTCTCTCGCGACCCGATCGCGGGGGTGCGAGGATTCCGGAAAAGATTCCGCGCTTCGTGTCGCGCTACGTTACCACCCACGAACTCCCATAAGTATCGCCGCGAGATACGGTCAGATACGTGCCATAAATCGGAATTTTATCCGGCCGGAGCGGTCGTGGTCGTGACCCGCGAATTGCGTAATACTAAATTAGTTCTCCGATTCGATTCGAGAGAGGACGCGCAACTGGACGTGGTCTTAACTCCGACGGAGTTTCGACCTCCGACCGCAACGGGTTCTCCGACTCGCATTTGTCCGCGCGCGTGAATATACTCGATTTATCAAAGTAATCTCTCGAAAAAGGTATCTCACAAAAAGTTTGACAAAAAAAAAAAAAAATGAAGTATATCTAAGTGTCAACCCGCTTTTACTCGTAGGAGTCGTGTGGGGTCGCCGACGATGTCAGCGACTGTCGCCGGCAACCAGCAACAGCAGCATCCTCATCAGGAATGGGACATAAATGATTCGAACGTTCCGAGGGTAAGATTTGTTAGAAGATCGAAATTACATTAAAGATTGTCGTAAAGGCGCGCGAATCGAAATTCAACACAGTTAACACCAAATTCTTTTCTTGAGAATAAAACGCGAAGTATACGGAGACAGAAAGAGAGAAAAGGCGGCAAAGAGCCAACGCACAGAGATATACGCACGTAATTCTTATTCTCGCAATTCGATTTTCGAACAACCGCGCCGAAATCGAGAACAATTAACTCGCCTCGTCTCCTCACAAGAGCAACGAGATAACGAACGTAGGGATATTCTTAGGTGGTGGAATACGATCCTTGGTGCGAATGGGCGGACGGACACGTGAGGAGAGTCTACGGGCCAGATTGCGAGGAAGCGAGGAGACACGCCTCGGGTTGGGCGATGAGGAACACGAATAATCACAACGTGAGCATCCTCAAGAAGAGTTGTCTGGGAGTTCTGGTCTGCTCTCAGGAGTGCGTACTACCCGGCGGCGGAAGGGTTCACCTCCGACCGGCGATTTGCGATAAGGTGAGCGCGTAACGACGTGAATTTTAAATATCCGCGGTATAAAATAAACGTAAGTTGCAACGATAGTCGCAACAATCTCTATTGCGACGTGTTTCATCGAACTCTCTCGCGTCAATCGTCAATCGTCAGTTAATATCGATCGAATTCGGCACAGGCGAGAAAGAAGCAACAGGGTAAACCGTGTCCGAACAGACAGTGCACCGGTCGGTTGGAAATTCTATCGTGTCGCGGACATTGCGGTTACCCCGTCACCCATTTCTGGCGTCACACCGAGCACGCAATTTTCTTCCAAGCCAAGGGCCAGCACGACCATCCGCGACCGGAAGCAAAATCTACGTCCGAAGCCCGAAGAAGCGTCGGCGCCGGCAGAAGGGTCAGAGGACTGGCGGTCCTATTGGCGAGAGAAGCCGCTCTGGGTTCCAAGGTGATTCGATTCGAAATGATTTCGTCGTAATCAACAGTTTCATTGTATAAATGCGATTTGAAAATACGAGTAAAAAAATAGATTTACTTATAAAAATAGAAAGATTCGATGCGAAATGTTTCATCGACAATTATAAATACGTTAATTTGCATTATTTCGTTGCAGTTAATGTCGCTGCGGGGCACCAAAAGGTCAAGCACGGACACGGTCGAACAACCTGCGTCGCGAACGACGCAGCCACCGCCACTGATCTCCGATAAAGGTTACTATTTTTTGTGCTTTGTTAAACACAAAACAAAACACATAACAAAAAAAAAAAAATGAGCGGAAGATGGCGACTTCGAAAAGATAGCTTTTTTCCGTTAATAAATGTAAACAGAAAAATGTAAGGTTTTTTTCTACAAAATATTACGTCATTTGCGTTGTTGAGACACGCAAAGATTAGGCCGCGATTCTCGAAACTCTCGTGACTGCGAGCGGCAGAAAATTAAATCGCGTTTCTTTCAATGCCATTATAGGGTATTCGTGCTCCTGTCCGCCGTTCGAGTGTATGTGCACGTTGCAAACGAACGTAGTACCGTCCTACCCGCAGTCGCATCATCACCAGACGGCAGTATACTCCCAACAATTTCCCCTCGCAGATAGTCCTTACTGGCTTCAAGACGCTCCGCCGCAAGAGAACACCGTCGGTTACTGTTTGCCGAATCAGGTTTCCCAGGAAGCGTCCTACGGCGATTTTCCGCCGTTCGCGGGCGATCTCTTTCAACCGGAGGAAATCTTTCAGTTGGATCAACCTCTGAGGCCGGACTTTCCCTCGAATTCCCAGGAGGTGGCTCGCTCGCCGCCGACTCTGCTCGATCTCGGTAGCGGCACCATCAAGTACGAGGTGAAGCAACAGAATCAGGATCAGAATTATTGGAACCAGTTTCTAAGCGAAGATTCCAGCAGCAGCCATCTGAGTCTGCCCCAGGACGACAGGCTTCACTTCGCCAGTTTCGAATCCGAGAAAGTCAGCAACGGCTTCTCCTCCAGAAGAGTGATGCATCAGTACGTGCAGGACAAGAATCAGAATCAATCGTTAAACAACACTTTGAATTATCAAAGTTACTCCAGACAGCAAGGTCAGAAAGGCTACGTTGAGAGCAACGCCAAGGACGAACAGTCTTACTGGTCTCAGAATCAACAGGACAACAGATTACAGACTCTGGATAGTTTCGAGGTCAAGGAGGAGGATCTGTTGTCCGCGCGCAGAGAAGTCAACGAGTGTTACAAGAACAACAGTCAGCCGTCGATGGTGGACAGAACGGAGTACAATATCTATCAGAGACCGAAGAGCGAGGATTTGCAGGACACAGCGCGACACAACTGTAGTCCCGAGAACAAACCGTATCCCTTCGACGGGTATCATCAGATGTTCGAGCAGAGCGACGTCAAGAATCAGCCGCAGAACCGCGCCGTTTGTCAGAGCTCGACCAGAACGACGAATCTGGACGACAAGCTTCAAAGTGGTGGTTACGGCAATCATCACGAGAGCTCGGAAATCGCGGGAAGGCTGTACCACAACAATTCCGGCGCGGTCGAAACGTCGATTCAGTCCCAGAACAGTCCCGAGCCGTTCTTTTATCCCAGCAACGATCGTTGTCATTACACCTGCGAGATTCTCGAGCGGGTGCCGCAGATGATGAACGCCGGTCCGGTTCACGGGGCCGTTAACAGTTACGGCAGCGACCAGACGACCGCCGCCGCCGACCTGGAACTGCCACCCTTCGTTGATTACACGCTAGTCGGGATGCTGTGCAGCTCCGCGGACGAGGACACGTCGAGCTTGCTGCCGGGATGCCCTCAGGACTCGCACAGCAGCTACATTTCTCATCATTAGAATACACTCGCCGTTGTGTGCTCTACTCATTTGTATTATATATAAAGAAATATATAAGATATAGTTGCACTTTCTTCCCCTGAAAAGGGCGGAGTTTTTTATTTTATCTTTAATTTGCGAAAACTTTCTCCAAAGTTTATTTCTCTTAGGCGGTTGAGGAACCGAACGTGTGCGGATCTCGGGAGTAGTGGAAGGAGGAATCAAAAACCACACACAGTCGAATCGATCTAGTCTGGAAAAAGGTCACATGATTTATTTGTAACTAATTTTTTTATTCGTACCAGATACTCTCACGATCACAATTGTTATGTATGTATGCATACGCGTGCGCATATGTATATATACATGTATATACATATACATACGTGCATATATATACATATACATATATGTTATATGCAACGTTGTTTAGTATATGTGTCTACGCATTACATCTCGATATTACATGCGCATGTGCTTTCCTTACTTATTCTCATTTACAGAGTTTTTTTTTTTTTACGAGAAACGTTCGCGTACACGGCGAACGTAATAATATAACGTACAAACGGAACCGACGCTTGTCCGCGCGATCGCAGGCTGGCCAGAACGAGTTTTTTGTTTTTTTGTTTTTCTCTTAAATAATGCGCGGAAAGATGTTGAAAAAAAAACAAATAAAAAGAGAACAATGGGAGAGAAAACAGAGTGCGCGCGCACTGACGGATTTCAACAAATAAATGTCCTTCAGCGTCGAGATTCTCTGTCGACGGATTCCAAGAGAGAATAAAAAAAAAAAAAAAAAAGAGAGAGAGACTCAAATAATAACAATTCAAATAAACTATCGAGTTTAAAGATTGTATCGCGCGCATACGATTATGACTATCGCACGATTTTTTCAACTCGATTAAAATCATTGTCTTGATCGGCGATTAATTGATCTTTTCGCCGTTTCGATTCTCTCGACTGCACGCGAAAAAACCAAGTGTCCCCGCTTTCGTAACAACACGTACGATTCGAAGTTTCTTGCCAACGATATATAATATTCCTTCCGACTGGACACTCGATTTTTCTTTTTTTTTTTTTATATGTATTTTTTAGAAGTTTATTCCAATTCAGCGAAATATAAAACAAAGTTTCGATCGAGCAAGTTTTAGCAAGATGCAACAGCAAGATCCTGATTCGAAATCGGGACGAGTCTCGCATAACTCAGAAAAAAACCTTTATTATTATACACAGCTCGATGTGCTGAATGCAATTTCCCTCTTTTTTCTTTCGAGAACATAGTTTTTTTTTTTTTTTTCGAACAACAAGATAGTTCGTCAGAGTATCTTTTAAGGACGAGAAAAATTGGAATTAGTCGTAAGTTTGCGTAATTTTTTTCAGAAGCACTGTCGAGAGACCCGGGAAAACAATCCCCGCGTATGACATATATATATATATATATATGTATATATATATATATATATATATATGTGACAAGTTCGCAATATTTGTTTATAAATAAATTTCGAGATCACGCGCGAGACGGATGTGTGTCTCGCGTGTAATTTTAATTATAATTTGCCAGATATAAACAAGTTGCTCACACACGAGAGATTTGTTTCCCCAAGAAGTGCTTCATCTTGTGCCGTACCGGTGCGTGAAAAGATTATATATTACACAGTTGCACGTAGTTGCAACTCGAGAGATTCTTGGCGAAAAAACACAAAAACGGTAAACGTCGAATGACCGCTCATCGACTGTTACTGTGTTTGTTACGTTTGTCGCCCGAGTTCTCGAGAGAGTTGTAAAAGTCAAATGGGGAGGGTGCAAATCAATGTCGGGGATATATATATATATATATCACATACGGGGAAATTACACATTTATATATGTACATGTTTATATAGCAACAGATTTCCTTGCCTCTCGAAGTGACGAGTACACAACACTTTCGCTCTCAACAATTTACAAATTGCAGACGCAACGACTCAGCTTTTTCCGAAAATTTTACATACAGGCACACACGCACACATACGCGGAACTTGCACACGCGTTTTTTCGTTTCTTTTAAAGACACGCTTGCCGGAAACCGCATCTGCATACAAAATTTATGCAGCAAAACACAAACTTATTTTGCTTTCTTCGACAGCCATGTCTCTCGTTGGTGTTGCGGATAAATATATCTACAAAAAAAAACAAAAAAAAAAAATGTAGAGAGAGGAAGAGAGAAAGAGAAGAGAGCGAGCGCGCGCAATTATTTCAAATGTAAGAACAAGTCAGCTTTATATCGAAAAATATTCAGTTCGAAGCAACGTGGTATTTAGCTTTGCACGTTCTAAACAAAAAAAAACAAAAAAAAAACAAGTCGAATGCATCGAGCTTTCTCCGCCGCTCCCGAACCGAAAGAGAGAAATTTGGTCTAGTAGGAACCGTAGTGGGTACACGTGTGTGAACTAAAACACGGAAATCGCATACGGAGATCGATTCTTTTTTTTTTGTCTTTTTACAATAATTCGAGATTGAGTGAACTTTTCATCGTCACAGTGGCAGTAAAACCTATTACTAATTAATCGTCGTTTCGTGTGCGATTTCGTGCAACAGACGGCGACAGTGAAGGAAGAAACGGTGCTTCCGAGAAAGGAATGGGGATTTCTTCTTTTTCGTCCTCGGGGGATCCGTGTGTGTTAAAAAAATTCATCGCCACTACATCGCTCAACCTGAAGACGAAAGAGCAAATGCCTAACTACGCCGCCAAAAGCGATATACGCCGGTTTCCCCCCTTCCCCGAGAGGACACTTCGAGATTAGCTTATAAATTATCCTATACCGAACAGTTTATCTTACGTATCAGCATTCTTGCAAATCGCTTTTTTTTTTTTTTTTTTTTTTTTCACCGACACTCGGAGTTTGCGCCAATTCGCGAACGAAAGTTCTTTTACACAGACCGCGATTACGGCCTCTTCTTTCGTGTTTTTTTTTTGTTTTGTTTTTTTATACTATATACAGGGGAAAGAAGAGAGATGCCACTTCGTCACATCTGCGTACTCGCGGTTCGAAACAAAAACAAATGGACCGTCGCTCGGCACAATGAGAAATTAAGAGTTTGATTGACGATCGAACGTATACTTTATTCCATGAGAGAATGACTTCGCGGTCCGCGCGATTCGACGATAATAAAGTGGGAAGAGGAGGGATTGGGGGGGGAGAGAATCGTCGTTTTTTTGAATGTGGATATTCAGCAGCTTGAGACCACGTGTGTGTAGAACGTTTTTAATTCAATAAGAAGCTTGTCCGCGCATAAATATTCGCATCAACGCGCTAAACATCACGTTTGTTTTCTATTATCACACATATATATATATACACACCATTGTTGTCTTCATTTAGTTTATCTCTAGTGGCAATCTCTAGGGAGTTTGTTTTTTGTTTTTCGTTTTTTTTTTATTTTTTATTTTTTATTTAACTACATTAACGGACGAGATCATTCTTTCATGAAATAGAGAATATAAAAAGTAAGAACGCGTGAAAACTAACAATCACAGAGCTATTGTACTGTTACCTACGTAATGAGAGTGTGAAAAACGCGTCGCGAGAGAAAACGAGATAGCGAGATATATTCGATAATATATGTACGAGTAATGCAACTAAAGGAGCTTACGAGCAATCCTCTGCAAGCGGTTTATATGTGACGATTTATATATACATATATATATGCATATATATACATATATATATGCATATATATACATATATATATACATATATATATGCATATATATATATGTACGGACACTGGTCAAAACGATATAGAAAACTATATATACATACGTGTGTGTACGTGGTGGTACATTTATAAAATTCGTTCTACGTGCGAAGCCCGCGGCTCTTTTCTTCTCAGAGCTCGCGGATCTTCGGGTGATCGTTGCTTAAACTAACGTTTGAAAATTGCATACGAAAACGATGACGACGCCGCGGTCTTTGTTTCCTTCAAGTACAGAACGAAACATCCCGAGACTCGCGCGTTTTACTTACACATACTTTACTCGATTGGTTCTACAAAGAAACGACAAATATGTCAAGAAAAGGGAGAGAGAAAAACAGAAAAAGGGTACGTGTCTTACCGCGACGAGTGAGAATCATTTGCGACAAAACGACAACAAAAAAAAAAAACAAAAAAAACAAAAAAAATACCTAACGCAAGGTATTATCCAAAAGAAATTGTCTGGGCATGATTAATGCACAACGTCGCTTAGCACGATCTCTGTATAAATAATAAACCTAACGAGAATTAGGTAAACCTCGCGAAATTGCACAACACGGTCGCGGGACAATTCTCTCACACCTTAACACAATCTTAGCTCACAACTTTAGGACCTACGAGATTTTTTTTTTTCGTACATGGATATTGCACAGTTCGTGCACTGGTATAATGATACGCATTCTATGAGTATATACAGGGTGTTTGAAAAATTTTGACAAATCTAACTTCACACTTTGGCTTTGTCAAATGTTTCAGACACTCTGTATATGGTATATATACATATGTATTATCTAAAAATACACAGTATATACAGTACCAGACAAACATATATTCGAAAAAATATTTTTTATCGAGCTTCGAAATGTTTGTTAATGTTTAAGAAATGTGTTCGAATTTTGTAAAAACTTTCGTTCTTCTCCTCTCTCTAACTCTCTCTGCCTGTGATGTTGTCATAAAAGATAAAAATATATATATATATGTAAAATATATACATATATATATATATACATATATATATATATAAATTATATATAAGTATTTTTTGAATAACAATATGTATAAGTATATATAATTATATATATATTATACATATATTAAGTATATATACTTGTACATATTACTTATATATACATTTATTTTTAATTATAAATTATTGGTATAAACTATATATGTATATATAATTCTATAGCTATATATTTTTTTTTTACACACACACATTGCTACCTACTCCTAAATCACTTCGTTGAAGTGCAATTGATATATCGCTAAGTTAAGTAAACATTCGAAGTATTGGTGGCAAAAGTATAGCTATCGATATATACACTCGTCCAGTACTGTATGTATTTCACTGTGTACGTAAACATCGCACGTTTTTTTTTTCTTCTATATCTCAATTTTTGTAAAACTTACAATTACGTTTTTTTTTCCCTTTTGCATTACACATTGCAAAGGTACTCGTCAGAATGCGGAAAGAGGAAGCTACACGTTATTACAAAGGACACACTTTCGTCTTCTCGCACTGTTTAATGTCGAGAAGTTTAAACAATTTCTCTCTTACACACTGGTCAGCCTATCGAATTTTTATTAAATGAGAAGATCGTTGACGACGTTCAATTTTTTTTGTTCTCTTTGCTTTATCATTTGAAAAAAGAAAAATCAAAGAATACAAATATCGTTATGCTTCACAGCTAGCCACAGCGCATTCGGCAAATATGTTTCTCTCGTTTTAAAAATTACTTATATCACAATAAAACGCCGGCGCATCCTTCCGTCTCATTTCGTGTCGTCCGAAAAACTTGCGCATACCTCTTTTCGTGGACCATCACCTTAAACATTGATTATTCAAGGATGCGTCTAGAGGCTCTGGCAGGTTTTAACCTAGATCCGAAGTATCCGGATGGTTGCGGAGACGTAAGTTCGGGATTTGCGTTCCGGGTCGCTGGTCCCTCAATGAACGCGGCCTGCCGACACAAACCCTCGATCACAGCGCTTGTACTAGGCAAGAATCAAGGATTGGATTCTTGACACTTAATCTGAACGGAAAATTACGTCTGCCTATTCGACATCGATTCTCTTTCGTCGGTCTTTCAGTTGACTTTTTGACATCGCGCCTGCTTCGTCGAGTCCGTCTCGTGGTTTAGCGCGCACTCTGTAGAATTTCGTACCAAGCGGAACGTGATACCGATTCTCCTGCTAAAAAACAAAAAAAAACAGACATTTGTCTTTGTTATTGCAAATTCATCAAAAATTCGATGTTATAACAACTGGTATATATAATTCGCCATTATTAATTAACCAATGGCAGCCTTACCTTTCTCGCGTGACAATATTCCTTGTCGATCACTTCAGCAAGAACGTACTTCTGGGAGCACATTCTTTCCATGACGTCGGTGCAATCCGAATGAAGAAAATACAGTGTTGAGGATTGCTGATATATCGCGTAATTGCCGTGTTCAGTATCCCAGGCGACAACTACTATGTCACCTGGATTGCAGCTAGTGATGGTCACAGTTCCCTCCTGCACCATCTTTGCCACTTTTGACGTCTTTTCGATCTTCTTTTGCGTATATATAGGAAACGGGGAATGGAAGCATAGTGATTTGGAAGATGGTCGTCGATTTGGTTCCGGGCTGGTAGCTACGTCTTTGCTCGAAGATGAATCCGAAACTACCGCCACCGACGCGTTCATGTCTTTTTCGCGGCTTTCCGAAGGTACTAAATCGGCACTAATTACCTTAAGAAACAAGAAAATAACAACAAATTAGTCATGCAATCAGTAAATAAATAAAATTATTAAAACAATATTTATATATTTATTAATTACCTTCTTAGTTCGTTCCTTCAGTAACTCGACTTCTAAACGAAACTTATCCGTCATTAAAGTTTCCACTTTTGCTTCGGCCGCGATTTTGCTCGCGCGTATCACGTTCAATTCGGAAGATAGCCTCTTGTTATCGTTCTCGAGTGCTTCAAGTCGCCTTGACAACCGAACCAAATCGTTCTTGTCAGCTTCCAGCCGCACTTTCTTTGATTCCGAGACTTGAATGTCGGCTTCTAGATCTTTGAATAATTCTCCCGAACCAGCTTGATTGGCGTCCAATTGATCGTAGCTCGAATCCTTGCGCACTCCAGATTCTAGAGAATACACACCAATTTCATTTTGTTCCAATAGCTCCCGTATCGTTTTCTCCACGGCTTCTTCGCAGCAGTTCTGCAACCATGCCGAATCTGCTTCTATATCTTGCATCTACAAAAATGCAAAGATGTAATTAAGAAAATAACAAAATCACGTAATAAAACTTGAAGTAATATAATATACGATACCTTCTCCCTCAATTTTGGCTGTATGTCCGTTTTGAGTTGCCCAACCAATTGATCCAACATATTCTGATAACGTTTTCCTTTATTAATTAACGCAGCTGTTTTTATCTTATACGTTTCTATCTCTCTGTTTTTCTCCTCGAGCACTTGTTTCACCCATCTCATTTCGGTGTCCAATTTTCCCATGCAATCGTTTCTTTCCTTCTCAATAGCGGTGCGAAGTGCCGCGGCGTTTTCCTGTTTCATATCTTCCTTCACTTGCGCCACTATCGCCTCGTGATTTGCGAGCTCGATAACATCTGTTCTCTGAAAAGAAGATCGATACAATATATATTTTAATCTACATCTTTCTTTTATACGTTTTCAATAAAACGCATTAAACTGTCGACAAGCTTACTTACTTCAATTTTTTCTAGACTAGAATCGCTGGGGCTTCTTTCCATTGTGGAAGCGGCCATAAGTTTGAAACGACTCCGAATGGTTTCCAACTCCGCCTTGTATTCCAATTGAAATTTGTCAGTCGCCTCCTTCACCAGCCTATCCTGATCGCTGCGAGCGGTGTTCAGATTATCTTCCAGTTCTTTAATTCGCTTCTGACATTGCGTCAAAGAGTTCGTCAGAGAGGTGATCTCAAGAAATCTCTCATCGTTTGTTTTTTTCACCGCCTCTTCTTTATCTATACGCGCTTGCGTCAGTATTCTCGAATATTCTTCAAGCTGCTGGTGCAAACGAGTTTGTATATTCCTGCTCTCGAGTTGTGCGTCCTCCAACTTTTGATGCATCGTGGTTACCAATCGCTCGTGTTCGACTAATTCCGACTCTTTCTCCATGAGGCTGTGTTTGAGCAAGCAGGTCTCTTCCTCGCGACTCTGCATCAGTTTCGTCAAATCTGACAACTTGAACTCGTGTTCGATCGCCATTTCTTGCTCGCGCTTCTGAAGATTCCGGTCGTACTCCTGCGAATACAAAGACAGTGCCATTCGAATGCGTTCCGTTATCTCGGCAACATCATTCTTGTCATCCTTGGACTGATCTCGCAAAACCGCCAGTTCGTTTCGGATCGAGGACAATTCCTCGCACACAACTGCCTTCATTGTCTTCAAAATGGAGCGCAGTCTCTCCACTTCCTCGCGTGTGTTACCGAGATTCTCCTGAAACGATGAAACACCAGAGATATTCCGATGTGAATACGCTCGAAGTCATATATTACATTTTGTTTTTCAAACAAATTTTCCTCAATTTCCATGTGGAGATCGAGAAAGATTCGTACGAGAAAACTTCACTCTTTAAATCTTGGTATGTCCGAAATCGTGTAGTGTGAACATACAAAATTAAAAAATCATTTTAATTTAGAACGGATGTGTTGTTGTGAAAGCGATCGTGTGGATGTATTCAATCTAGGTCCGAAGGGATATGTAAGGTCAAGGGATTGGGAAAACGAGTGCGACGCCAGCTATCCTGTAAAAAATCAAGATGCACGCATGTATACACGCGCATACGCGCACGCACACACACACATACACACGTACACACACACACACGTACGCACTTGAGCGCGTATTCTTTTTTTTTTTTATGTGAGGCCAACTTGTGCAAGCAAATATTTAGGGAACGCAACAGATTCAGTTTTGATTAGTTTGACACAATTGTGGACACAAGGCAAGCAGCGATACATACCCATGTTTCGCAGGATCTAGTTAGCATACAAAATCGCCACTAATTACTCGCTAATAAATACAAAGACAACGATACTGGAAACTAATCTAGAAAATCATATGTATAAAAGAAAAGCAAATCTCAACTACGGACGTGTTTCGACGGAGTTTTATTGAGCAATATTTTCTTAACGAAAAGAAAACTCAAAAAAAAAAAAAAAAAAAAAAAAAAAAAAAAAAAAAAAAAAAAAAAAAAAAAAAAAAAAACAACAGGAGCAACAAAAAAGATAATAAAGAAATATATATTAAAAATATTTATATAGTAGAAGACTTGTACACGCTTCAAAGAGATAGTGACGGAAGTGATACTTTACGGAACGTTTAACAGCTAAGACTACAGGAGTTGTCTGTTAGCGAGCTGTAAGTCGTCCAGTACCTGAAGAAGGGACACGATAGCTTGATGTTGACCGTCGGCAGGATGCTCGCTGAGACTGCTTGGCAGAGATTCATCCATGTAAAATTCGGTACCCATGAAGTCGGTAGCGCCCACGCCGACGGACGGGCTGCTACCGCCGCTACCGGACAACGGTTGATGCAGCTGATGCTGGCCATCGCACATGACGGAGGACCGTGGCAAGGAAGGAGGATTCGGACTCAGGGAATGTTGTTCCTCGATAGGCATGGCGTCGCGATAGTTGGAGAGATCGCTGTGGAGCAAGCAAACGGAGGAATCGGCGGCGCCATTCTCCGCGCACTCGGTCAGAGGACTCAGTTGAGCCGGGCGCTCGCTCGTGGTGGACAAGCTGGGAAATTGGAATGAACCGGGTTCGCTTGATGTGGACGAACGTGTCGTTAGGTCCGCGACTTTCGAGTTTAACGGGGAGACGTTAGTCGAGGTCGAGGAAGCGGGGGACACGCTTCGAGAGGCACCAACCTCCAATTGCTTCTGTCGTTTCTGTTTCGCCCCGTCAAACACGCCGGGTTTGCCCGCGTCCACGCCGGCCTGGCCGATCTTCTCAAACTCCTCCGTGTCGGTTTCCGATTCGAAGCCTCCTCTAAAAATCGATACAACGTATATTACATAATTTACGCTATTTTTAAGCATAGAGTAATCAATAATATAACGACATTTACCTGTCAGACAACAACGGCGCTCTGCTGGTGCGCTCCTGATCTTTTGGAATGTCGGTGCTCACGGACGTTACGTCTTTCTCCTTGTTGCCATCGGTACTACCTTCGGAAAAACTCTTAGACAAGAAGAACTGCGTGATGCTGTTCAGATCCGGCGTAGAAATTGTAAGCGCTAAGTCTGGAAGTTGCGCTCTCAACGATTCCATATCATCCGCAGTCAACTAATCGAAAATGAAGAATACGTTACGCGAAAAGAAACATATAGAGTTTAGAAACGATTATCTTGAAATCCTTCCTTGTAAAATCCTTTACCTTGGGTAGCCCGTTGTCAAAGACAGAAGGTGCCTGTGTCGCAAAGGGTGGCGGTGTGTCTTCTAGACCCGGAAATAGAGTATTCAAGAAGTGGCCGTCAAACTTGTTCTGAAACTCTCGTCTGCGCGCCAACTCCTCGCTGTGAACCGTCATCAACTGACATGCGAGATTGCTGGCCCACACTAGAAAAGCTTGGGAGAAGGTGCGCCTCCTAACAACCTCAACCACCGCGCTTATGTACATTTCCGGGGCTAAGTGTATCTGTTGGAGCACCTCCAGATGTCTCCTCAATCGCTTCAAACTCTCGTGATATATGATCAGCTTGTTGCCCACTTCCACCATTTTGTTCTCCACGTACATGATCCACTTGAGGCGATGGTAAATATTCACCGAGAGCTCCTCTTTCGCTTTGGTGCATCTGCGACGGATATCACGAAGCTGATTGTGAGCCTGCAGCATGACGACTAATTGCTTCCGGTGAGAAGTGCAGAGGTCCGGCAGAATGCTCGGGTCGCCTAAATTGCTCGCCCGACTCTGATTTTGCATGAAACCCTGAGCCAGCTCACCCTGCTCGTGAACAAGCTTCTTGCTCTGTACCATCAGTTGCTCCAAAGCGAACAACCTCTCGCCTAATCCCTTGATTTCCTTCATATCTTGTTTGTTGGCCTGTTCGATAGCCGCATCTACCTCGGCTTTCAAAGCCTGCATTAGTTGTTCGTTGAACTGTTCCAAACCACGGGAGCAGTGCTCAGCCACTTGCTCCAAACTGCTCTGATTGTCCTTAGCTGAAATCCATCGAAGTAAACTGAGCACTTCTCCCCCGTCTTCCAACGTCGGTTCGGAGGACTGACTCGGTTGATCGTCCGGGCTCAACAGGCCCTCGGCTTGGGCCCTCAAGGCTGGCAGAATCGGAATTTTTGCCAGAGTTCCAAGATCGGCGCTGAAGCTGCAACAACATTGAGACACTCACATACACATATCTATAAAAAAAAAAACTTAATAACGTACAAAAAAAAACAAATCTATAAAACTGTTCCTCGCAAATCAACATTGTTCATTTATTTGTGTCCGACTGATTGCGACAAAACTTCGACGCACATCCTAGCAATGAAATTATGTGACGGTCCGATTATTCAATCAGCTATTAACGTTATAAGCCATGGTAATTAAAACATCAATGATTAAATATGGTAATCAAAGCTGTGATAATTAAAGCGTGAATTCAATGGTAATATCCTCTATTGCAATTATAGTAATTATTGAAAGTGGAGTAGCATTATGTAATTCATTGAGAAAATATTTCCCAGCGATCCGCGTCGACAAAGTCGTTATTTTCCAATCTCGCTATTATTTAGCTATATCGCGTCGCATTTCGGCGGACACTTTTATCGCGCAAAGGAAAGCGGGATTCGTTGCGACATTAATCGCAATGGCCGTGTCCGATGCAAATTCTCTGTCTGATTAAAACTTGTAGCGACTCGTAAAAGTTCTTTACAATTCATTCGATAGATACTCGCACGTAAAGTTGGCAACGTCTATTCAATTGTCCGTAAGAAAAAAAGAGAGAGAAAGAGAGTTCCGTACTTGTCGAGGAGTTCCATATGCTGCTGCCTCTCGGCGAGATACAGGACGAAGGACTGCTGGAATTGCTCGGCTCGCGACTGAAACATCTGCGTGATGTCCTCGAGATTCGCAACCACAGCGGCCCAGCCCTGCTGCTGCAGATGCTGGTCGTGGACCAGCTTCTCGCAGATTCTGGTTTGCTCTCGCGCGAGATTGCAACAATGCTGAGCTAGCTGAGCACGTGAGCAAAGAGTCTGATAGGTGGCCGGCATCGCCAGTGAGTTGTCGATTTGAGTTTGAAGGTCGACATCTGAAAACAAATAAACAGAGAATCACACTCAATGCTATTTTTGTAATATTTTTTCTCTGTCACAAACAATATTTATATTGTAACACGCTATTATACAGACACGTACTTTCAAACGATAATATTCAACAAACAGCTGGAAAAAATAATAAAAAATAATTACAAGCCTGGTTGTACAAATTGTGAAATGTGTGTTTTTTTTTCTTTTTTTACTAATTGCGCGTATAACTCGTGTGTAACTTAATGTTGCAAGACCAAGCGCGAAACACACATAATGGAATGTGGATTAGAGAAAGTATAACACTCTAATCTCGTGAGTGTATACGGGCGCATGAGTGTGTGTGTGTGTATGCAACAACTTCGATTTTAAATCCAGCAAAGAGGTCTTTTCATTTCCTTTATAGATTACACGCTCCGACGAGAACCGACGCGTGATATGTTTTATGATTTGTCCGGATACACCCGGAAGCACGTGAACAACCCGTGGGCAAATTGGCGAATATAAATTCTACCATTTCACAAGACTCTCCATCTGGATCGTAAAACGCGAATGGATCTACACGCGCTTGATTGCAAACCCCGACGCTCGCTTCGGAATCGTTATCTGAAGAGAAAAAAAAAAATTATTTATCTTACGCGTATGCAAATTACACTTGGGCGATAAAGTCGACGAGTTTTCGCGATCGGAGACGGAAATCGTATTTCGAATCGCGGAGAGAGACCGAGGCGGGTGTGTAATTGATCGACGCGGAGAGGCTCGCAAGAACGGCGTAATCTTGGCACGCGATGAAAATTCAAGGCCGACGCGACACACATCGCTTCGGCAACCTTACGTCACACACTCTAAATCCAAGAAGCGAATCGAGCGCTTCGGGCGACCGGATGCGCGATAATTAATTTATTCATACGTGCGTGCGGGAAATCGCGCGCGCACGAGAGAGAGAGAGAGAGAGAGAGAAAGAGAGAGAGAGACAGAAGTGACGAGAAAAATAAAGACGCAAAATATGAGAGAATGTAAAAATATAAATCTGGAAACAAAAATCGCATTACGCAACGTTGCGTATAGGCGATACTTGCAACATATTGTCGTCTGTCAAGCGGCGTACGTGCACACTCTTCTCCTTCCGTAATAATGCATGCATATGCGCGAGGGCCGATCTTTTCTATAGATCGCTGTCCGACTGACCTTACTTGATTTGCAAGTGAAAAAAAAAAAAAACAGACTTATGCGATTACTATGCACAGTTGAACAATCAGCGGAGATACTGCGCCGACTATACTACTATCGCGTTGGAGACCTCGCGTGAACCTTTCGTCGTGAATTGTCGTCGGGAAATCGAGGCGAAAGAGATATTGAGGATGCGATCTTTACACATTGCTTATCGCGACTTACATTGCTACGCTGTTTGTAAGTCACACGCAGTGTACACGCACGAGGCGTGTGTGTGATGCGACACAACATATGCGCGTGCCGAGCGAGGGGACTCTCTCACAGACAGGGAAATCCTCTGTCGAATCTCAGACAGTAACCCCGATGCGCGATAACCTTACGCAACACAAGATATGTAGTATTTTAATCTTGTACATGATTGATTTTTATCAATTTCTTTTTGTGTGTGTGTGTGTGTGTGTGTGTGTGTGTTTGTATACATATACTGCGACATTTTTACGAGAAAAGATTAAGATTAGTCTTCAATATGCTCTTTGATCTTCCGTCTCAATTAGAAGTCTCGTGAAGAGATTTGCATCATCCGCTTGCATCATTTAGTACCGAGAATCTATTTTGCCGACGACGAAACTACTGAAGTTACAGTACAACAAGGAAACTAACATTTTCGCGATGAATATTTTTCCTGAGAGACTTTGTTTCTCTCTCTTTCTCTCAGTTTCGGTTTCCTTTCATTTTTTTCGCGTAAATATTTGTTAAATACTTTACGAAGCGTTACGAGAGATACGCCCGCTCTTGAATATCTCACGTTTTATATCGGGTTAAAAAAAATAGTCAATCCGAAGTTCGATGTGAGAACTTGTCGACAACACACGTAGGGCGCGCGCGCGCAAAAAAACATATTTTTCTCAGCCCGTAATCTACTCAGGCGAGCGCGCACACGCTCCTCAACCACCAGCCGAGGCGTTCCTTCAACTTTCACGGAGGAGATAATCGCGGACCCGCGCGCAAGAGAGATTGCCCGCGACAATAAGCATTATCGTGGAAAATAATAAAAAAAAAAAAAAATAAAAAAAAAAGCGCGCGGAGAAACGGTATCGGGGATATAATGGGGGAGACGTAAAACTTGGCGCGCGTGAATCGTTATCGGTTATTGAACCGATCGCTTCACGTGTGAAAAATTTGTTGAACTGAGAATTTCTCTTCTTTTGGAAGAGATATTTGTTTTTGTTTGTTTTTATCGTAACAAGAGGGGGAAAATCCTCAAATCTCTGAGAGATGCACTTACTGGCAAAACTGTGGCATACGTATACAGAAAAAGAAAAAAAAACAGCGCATATCAGAAGGTATAGACACACGGTGATGCAGGTGAGAGAGTGCACACACGCCGTTTCATCGATCGTATTTTTTATAGAGCGCGCCTTGAACGAAAGTTTTGTGGTGTAACGTGGCGATCAAAGTAGTAGTTTTCAGACTGTTGTGTGTAGTATAGAAGTTTGTGCGCTATTTGCCAAGGTACAGCTTCGCGACATCCTTTAATACGTTTACAACGCACACAAAGAAGCCCCGCATAAACGATTTCGCGTTTGGACTAATTCGATTTTCACGCCGATTTTTCACGGTCTAACGATGGATTCGAGTCTTCGCGCAGAAATTACACACGCGCGCGTTCGCGCGATCTCTCGGGGAGAAAAAGCGTTACAAAAATATATCACGTGTAATCTCATGCGTGTAATCTCGAAAGTGCATCAGTTCAGAGCCGCCGGTCGTTGTAATGTGCATCGGGACGGGCACTGTGTGCGCGCCGGGCATCATCGGCAACTACTTAAAGTCGCGACCTCATTCGCACAGGTAATTGCGCGCGCGCGCATATGTGTGTGTGTGTGTGTGTGTATGTGCGCGCGCGCACGCCGCTAAAGCGCGCCGAAAAAGAAAACTCGGACGCGATGACTCGTGACGAGAAGCAATAAGCACCGGGGCATATAAACGAAGCGCGGAGAAATCGCGCGCGCACGTTAGATAAATGGCGTCGATGTGTTTCGTGAGACGAGGTTTCAGTTTCCGATGGTAGTTTGCACGTGAAAAGTACTCACTGCTACTTTTCGACATCGTCGACGATCTAAAGACGAGCGCGAAAATATCGACGCTGCGCGCACACATACATTGTGTGCAGTTTAAAGTTGTATCCGCGCGCTATCGCGTTTCAGTAGCATCTATTATTATTATCGACATCCGAAGGAGTGCCGATGGCATTTTCAAGGCATTTTCCAACGAGGCATTTCGTGTCGAGGCAACCGACTTTGAGAGGTCTTGTACAAAACGGCGCAACATGCGCTTTCGACGCGAAAAATATATATTAATGTTGTTCCACTTTCTAACCGGCGATGATACGTTTCCCCGTTCGTTTTCCTCGGTGTTGAGGAGTTTAAAACGGGGATAATCCACATATTACACGGTCCGACGAAGTGCTCTTCTCTCGAAATTCTCCGCTCGATCGCGACATCTTTTGTTTTACGGGATTAATCCGTCTTTTATATATATATACATATATCGCCACTTTTTCTCATCCGTCCGAGCGAGTTCAAATTGCGCTCCCTAGCGCTCCAATTCGCTTCGCTTCGAATTTACGGAACCGCAGCGCGTCATTCGTGGAACAACAGCCGAGAGAGTCGCCATTTAAAAAGTATACGAAACAAAGCCATCGGCTGGGCTCGGCCTCGTTCACACGATAATTGCAGGCTACGTTTTCTAGTCTAGGGCGATACACGGAAAATCGCACGGTTGCGCACCGCTCGCTCGCCGATCGCCCGGGAGTTCACGAGAATAATACTCGCCGAGACGCGGTGGAGTCGTGAATTGCGGCGCGTACCCCTCTCTCTTCTCTCCGGCGACTGCCGGTTTAATCTTCTTAAAAGTCTATCACGTGAAAATTAAAGTTGCGAGTGTTGAGCAAAGACTGGACTCTGTATTATATAAATGTGTGCGTGTGTGTGTAAAATCAAGACGATGGCTGCCATCGCCCACACGCGCTCTCCGCGCATTATAAAACTTGGACTCCATCCGAGGATGTGTGCGATGTTATATTAGCGCCGAGAGCGCGAGAGAAGTGTTGCTTGCTTATCAAACCATTACGCGATTGTGCGCGATTCAGAGACATCAAAGGGACGCCGCCGCGGTTGTGTTACGCCGTGGAAAAAACGCCTTTCCGGACGCGTTTGCCGAGTGTAGGCCGCCGGTGTGTGTCTCTGTCGCAATACGCGCGGAGAAGCAAGCAAGTGCCAGTAAGAACTATTACGGGGAGGATCTATACACAATGTAGCGACGGCTCGTTGCAACCAACACATACGCGCGCACACCGCGTGGTGCACACGCAGAAGCGATTGCGACACGCGGTCGTACACACAGAAATAACAGGTATGCTCGTTGAGAGAGAGTATTTATTAAGTGAACGCGCGCATCGAGTTGGTCCCGTGTACGAGACAGGTAACCACCCAATAAAAGCAAACGAGGGATCGCGATCATCTTCATAAAACAGTACAGGTACTCATGCGTATGTGTGTGTGTGTGTGTGGAAGGGAATACTAGCAAACTGTTTGATTTGCGTAAACACTACTCTCCTATCAACAACGTTAAAAAAAAACACTCTTGAAAGATAACAGAAATAATGTAAAATAAAAACTAATAAATAATAGAACAGATTCACAAAGAAACAATTTTGATGACAATAAGTTTCGCTCGTTCGATTGTTTATAAATTATGTTTGTTTTTCCGCTTATCACAAAATTGAAAAAAAAAAAAAATCGATGTTAAGAATTGATGAACGTTACAAAATAGA